AGCTGGCTGGGAGCAGCACCCAGCGCTGGGGCCTCCGGGACCCGCCCCAGAGGCACTGACCCGGGACCCTGGGGTCCTGCTCTGGGGAAACAGCTGCGGCAAACACAGTGCTGCCCACAGGCGGGCCTGGCCGGACGAGAGCAACCACGAGGACCGGTCGTTGCTGGGGAGGCTGTGGCCACACCACCCACCCCCAAGGCCCTGCATTTCTCTGATTCTTCCTGAAAGGGCTGGATTTAGGACTGAACTGCATGGCGATCGTTAGAGAAAACCCAAGTGCTTCCCCAACATAAACACACTGCCCCCGCCACTGACGACGTGGCCACTGGGGTCGTCAGAACCCCACCAGGCGAGCGCGCAGCTGCCACTCACACGGCTGTGGGCGGAGAGGCCAAGGCTGCCTCTCCATGTCCTCACCCCACGCCCGATGGACTAGCCCGCAGGCCTCTGGGGAGAGAGGTCACATCCAGAAACACCCCCGCTGCTGGGTGTGGGTGCTGTGCTCCCGCCGAGAACCAGTTCCCGAGGGAGGGCTGCCCTTGCTGGGCAGGGCCAGGGGGGGTGGGGGGGGCTGTGCGGAGGCACTGGAGGCCAGGCCAACACCCACCTCTCTCCCAGGTCACGCAGCCACGGCTCTTCCAGTCTCTACTGATGCTCCCAAAGCAGCAACTTCCTCACTCACGTGGCGCCACCTCCCCTCTCACCAGCTTTGCTGCCTTTTCCGCACATTCGTTTTCCTATTTATTACCCTACGTTTCTCATTTGTTTACAATGCATTCTTGTTATTTTATGCTCAAATGGTCCCAGATTTGGCCATGGAAAGGCCCGTCAAGTGGGTGCTGCGTTTTGTTTATTTTGTTGTGTTAATCCTCACCCACGGGTATTTTTCCAGTGATTTTTAGAAACATCGACGTGCGAGAGACATTGATTGGTTCCTCCTACAGGTGCAACTGAGGACGTGTCTTGACCAGAATCAAACCTGCAACCCTCCAGTCCTTGGGCCGATGCTCTAACCACTGAGCCCAGCTAGGGTCAACTGTGTGCTTTGTTTTTTTTCATAACAGCACATATTGTCTTCAACGAAGTAGCAAAAACCCTGTAACTTTCACAGCAGAACAGGGCAGGGAGGGGCAGAAGAGAACCTGAACCATACAGCCTTATCTTGCGAGTCCCCAAAAGGCAGTGTGCGTGTAACCCCTGTCCAGTAAACACTAATTGGGAAATTCTAATCCAACTGTTCTTCAAAGTACCCATCTGCACCCTTCTCCCAGCATCCCTTGGACTCCAGCCAGTAAACACTCCTATGTGGTCCATGGAACCCTGAGCGCAGCATAAGGCCAGAAGCCAGTGCTCACAGGTCACAAGCAACCCCCGGCTGTGACCGAGGCCCCTCTTCTCACGGAGGAGACTCTTTGTCAGCCTTCAGGGAAGGACACTCCAGGGCCTTTCCTCGGGTTCCAAGGCCCTGAGGGCTGGAGGCTGCCCCTTGTCCCCTGGGACTCAGCACAAAAGAAAAGACACAGGGGGTCCGGGAGCAGATCCCCAACAAGCCATGCAAACAACCTGGAAGGAGGTGCACAGCCCAACGACAGGGGAAAGCAACGAGACGGAAAAGGCAGGTCACCAGCCCCCGCGACACAGCTCAGCAGAAGCAGCCAGAGGACCCCAGCACCAGCGCCCAGAGGACAGACCCGCGGCACCGGGCACCGGGGCGGGCGTGCGCATTACCTGCCT